CCCCCCTCACCCACATCCTCACACCCTCCTCCCCCAGCGGCAGCTGCAGCGGTGGGACTGAAAGAAGGAGGAGGGAAAGGGAGAGAGTTGACCCCACGCTCCAACACCCTCCACCCCCATACCCTCCTCCCCACGGCTGCAGGGAGACAAGAGAAAGGGGGGGGTGGGAAGGAAGAAAGCCGCAGAGCGGCGAAGAGGCGTCGGTGCAGATGGGTCAGGGACGGCAGCAGGGAGTGCAGGGGCGGAGAGGCCCGTCGCGGGCCAGTGCCACGGGGCGCACGACGGGTAGGATAAAAGGGCCCGATCGTGTGCCTCGGGGCGCACGACGAGCAGGGCACCATCGTGTGCCTCGGGGCGTACGATGGGCAGATAAAGGGCACCGTCGCGTGCCACGGGGCGCGCGACGGGCAGGATAGGAGTCACACGCCCGTGGGCGGGACAAGGTAAAACTAAAATCGTCACGCGCCCTAGGCGCGCGACCGGAAAATCTCAGCAGCGGAAGAGTAACGCGGGCCCACAGGCCAGGACGAAAACAGCTCCGATAACATGTCAAGATAGTAGGTAATAGAGAGTAGAAACGTGGGGCCTAGGCTTAGTAGCCTAGGCCCTAACTTAGTATCGAGCGGGTTTTCCCCTAGGGTGAGAGTCGAGTGAGTTGAGAGGAAAATTGTGAAAAGGTGGGTTTCACTATAGGTTCAGGGGTACATATAGCATAGAAACACAATAAGGTGCACCACCAACAAAAGTTTACATAACTACACTAACTACAACTACAAGCAATTATAAAACATGACAAAATATTTCGACATTGCAAGCTGGCTGGGATGGCTCTGAACTGAGAGAGCAACATATCCTAAGGCCAACAATCCGAGGGGGAGCTCATTGGTGCAACCCTACGGTTTGCACTCGGCTTGTTGTCCGTGTGCGTGCATTTGTGTGTATGGAATGGTATGAGGGCATGGGATAATATATATTTCATGCTTATAATTGTGTGTGAATGTTGAGTCATGATGTCGAGTGTGTGTGTCGAGTCAATAGCGAGATATCGCTAGACGCGTGTTACGCGGTTGTTTGTGTCTCTCGCGCGGTTTCTATTTTGTCCTGTGTCGAACGTTCAGCGTGTCGCAGGTGTGTGCAGAAGACCCATCAACAACTCAAGGATGAGTTTGTGATGAAGAGACCGAGCCTTTGTGACAAGCCTCGAGTGATTTCGAAGCTCGCCAAAAGGGTGCACCTAAAGATATTGAAGATAGTTACATTACTTTGTGTAGTGTAACATTTCACTTGGTGTAGGCCCTAGTGAAGGATAGTTTCGAGAACCTTCGTGGTTGGGGACAGTGTTGCACTGTTTCACATCACTTTACCTTGGCTCTTGGGGTTTGTAGGAGCTGGGAGTCATTCCCAACTCGTAACTCTTCCTAACTCTTCCTATCTTGTGTTCTAAGACTATGTTGCTGCCATAGTGCCGTTCGTTCAAACCAACGTTGTGTCGTCAATTCGTAATGAAAGCGTGCGATTAAAATTGCCTATTGTAGGCGACATCAAGGCGCTCCAGATCCAAGTTGAATGAAGTCATTTGGAGTTGTGAGCAGATCGCTATGAACGTTTGAAGCCGCTATGAAGAAATCCGACTCTGCACTCTATCTTACGTTTTAGGCACATTGGAGCCTACTGTGACTATAACAGGTGCCTGTGGACTTCCACGAAGCCATCTCTGCGTCCATGGCTGATTGCCACTGAGAGGAGTAGGGACCCTCGATCGCCTCAGCGTACGATCGAGGAGTCGGGATGTCTTGTGCATCCGGGTCTCCCTCAAGGGCAATCAGCGTGGACACGAGATGAGGCAAAGCAGCAGCAAAACACTGGAACTCCTCCTGCCTGTCCTCAAGGACGTCCGTGCTAAAAGCACACCCACCCCCGATGGACGGACAACAGACAGACGCAGACTCATTAACGAGACTAGCAGCGTAGTCTAGACGACAGCGAGCAGCAAAGTCGACAAGCTCAACAACTAAGGCAGACACAGCAGTGGACTCAAAGGAAGCGTCAGGACAACAGTAGCCAGGAGACGCGTGATAGTAGGACTGGCAGCACGGAAAGAGTCAGACTCCGAGTCAGCAAGGATAGGAAGAGAGGACTCTGGAGGAGACGGCAACGGGACACGAAGAGGAGTTGATGGACGCAGTGCCATCTGGTGTATGCCTGGGACTGCAGGAGGACGCGGACGCGGAGCACGACGACTAGTGCGAGTAGCACGAACAGGCGACGCAGGACGAGACGCAGGCTCACGACGCTCAGCAAGACCTCCAGTAGGACCAGTGTAGGGAGAAGGAGCAGGCAGGGGGGGAGGCAGGCTGTAACTATGACTGCGACTGGACAGGCTGTGGACACTCTATGGGAGGAGCAGGACCAGTAGAGGGCGGGAGACCAAGAACCTGCTCAAGTAGCGGAACGAAGTACAGCCGCGGCCGCGCAGTGCCTCCAGAACCAGCAGGGACAACACCATTACCCCCAGCGGCAGCACCAGTGTCAGCAGCACCGCAAGCACCAACAGCGCCAACTCTAGCACCCTCAGACGCACCAATGCCAGCAGAACCACCAGCGCCGACACCCCTAGCAGCTCCAGCTCCAGTAAATCTAGCAGCTCCAGCAGCACCAACTCCAGTAAGACCGGCAGCTCCAGTACCGCCAGCAGCACCAGCAGTACCTCCAGCAGCACCCCCAGCCCCAGCAGCTCCAGTACCGCCAGCACGAGCACCTCTAGGACCAGCAGCAACAGTAGTACCTCCAACTCTAGCAGCACGGCTCCAGCGCTAGGCAAACCACTCGCGCAGCTCCTGCGGTGAGAGCGGCTCCCGCCTCGACGAAGCACCATGAGAGGTCACACGAGCAGACCCAGCACCCCCAGGCTCCGCACCCCCAGGCTCAAAACCCCCACGCTCAGCACCCCCAGACTCAGCACCCCCAGGATTAGCACCCCAAGACTCCACACCCCTAGACTCAGCACCCCGAGGCTACGCACCCCCAGACCCGGCACCCGCAGGCACAGCACCTCGAGCAGCACCAAAGTCAACAGCTACCTTGACAGGCTCGACTGCGTCTACCTGGGACACACTTGACGGGGCAGGACCCTGAGGGGGGAGGGGGTCTACCGGGGGAGGACCTGGCGCAAGGAAGAGCGGCGGCGGGGGGAGGGGCGCAGCGCGGTAGGGGAAGAGACGGTAGTAAGGCACCGACTTGTCAAAGGTGACGTCCTGGGGGGACAAAACGCGGTGCGAGGTGGGGTGGTAAAACTGCCACCCAGGCGCATCAGGGGGGAAGCCAAGGAAGACGCAGGGAACAGCACGGGGGGACAGCTTGTCCGCATACAAGTCGCGGATAAACGCCCGAGATCCCCAGACCCGAAACGCAGACGCATCGCCAACCTTCCCCGTCCACCGCAAGGTGGGGGAGGTCTTAGGCAAGGAGACCCGGGGCTGAAGGCTGAGCTGATGCGCTGCGTACTGAACCGCAAACGGCCACAGAAAATGGGGGGCAGCTGCATGCATCATGGACGTACGAGCGACGTCCATGACCATGCCAATGCGGTGCTCAGAAATCCCATTTTACTGTGGAGAGGCCGGAAGCGTGAAGGTCTGACCGATGCCCGGTGCACAACAGAAGGCTCCCAGACGGGCAGAGGAAAACTCCCCGCCTCTGTCAGAGTGCAGACGCAGAACATGAAAGTCCGAGCCGAAAATCTCTCTGAGCTGGAGACGAGCTGTGCGGATCCAGTCGATCAACACCTCAGTGAAGTCACCCTTGCTGCGCAAGGAAAAGACTGTGGTGTAACGCGAGTAGTCGTCAACCACCAACACGATGTAACGCTCGTGCCCCTATCCACGGACGCGGGCGGGGCGCCTCACGTCCATGTGAAGAATCTGCTGCGGAGCCTCTGGCGGAGGAAACTCGGAGGAGTGAGGGGCGGCGCACTGTCGCCCCTCGACACAGGGGACGCAGGTAGGGACAGGTCCCAGAGGTAGGGGAGGGAGAGAGTGGGGAAGACCAGAGACAAGGACACGGGAGGCCATGCCTCGGAGACGAGGCAGGGAGGGGTGACCAAGGCGGTGGTGCCAAAGGAGAGTCTGGTGAGACAGGAGACGACATGAGCAGGTAGCACACTCAGGACCAGACCTAGACGATGTAGCAAACACCTGACTCGACACAGCTACCTGACCAGACTCAGCAGTTGGAGGAGACTCAGTTGTAAGTGTGTACAGGCTCGACCCCGGCCGACGGGTGAACGTGGCCAAGTGTCGGCCTGTCCGAGCACACGTGCAGTGGGTCACCCGCTGACTCGAAGGAGTGAACTGGTCAACCCCCCTATCCTGTAGATCAGCTCCACTCACCAAGTTCGTAGAGAATGAGGGGAGGTAGAGTCCTGATAGGGTGCCAGAGGGGGCTGCCGGGCACGGTAAGACAGTGGAGAAGCTAGCAAGGACAGGACCTCCAGAGGGGTCCGCCAGGGAGACCGCAACCGGCCGACTAAGCGGTGTAAGCGTGATGCGGTCTCGAAAGAAGGAGCGGGAAGCACCCGAGTCAAGGGTGAAGGTGTGTAAGGCCTGAGCCGACGTGGTACCTGAGAGAGCACACTCACCAGCACCTAGGGCAGCAGACACACTAGCACCTAGAGCAGTAGCCTCACCAGCACCTAGAGCAGCAGACTGGATACCGGGGTCAGGCGGCACACACAGGTGACAGACTCCCTCGGCACTAGTAGACAATGCATACATTGCAGTGAGAATAGCATCAGAGTCAAGAGCAAAGATATATACCCTCTGCCTAAGCAGCTCCACTTAGTCGGGGAGCTCAGCATCGTCGCCAAACTCTGTACGCCAAGTGTCGCTTAGACGCGCAAAGCAGCGGGACTCCGTGTGACCACACGTCCCGCAAGTCTGACTAGTTCGGACACCCGTGCTAATAACGTACGGGCAGCGAGCAGTACTCAGCGACCCTTTACTATGAGCGTACCTCTCACGAAGCTGCTGGGGTGAAATTGTCTCGCGCGGACAACACTGCTGCTGCACTGGGCCACTACAAGAAATTCCCGAACTACCCACTCCAGGACGACTCCCACTACTACCACCTCGACAACCCCAACTGGTGTACCACTCAGGAAGCTGTTGGGGGGTGAAGGACTCACGCGGGCGACGCTGGAGCTGCATCCTGCCACTACAAGCAGCTGCAGAACTACTCACTCCAGGACGAATCCCACTACGGCCACCCCGACAACCCCAACTAGCGTACCACTCACGAAGCTGTTGGGGGGTGAGGGACTCACGCGGGCGACGCTGGAGCTGCATCTGGGCACGCCAGGAGCAGCAGTTGTAGTAGAAAGAGCAGCAGTAGTAAGAGCAGCACTAACAGCAGTACAGGCAGGGCAGTGCTCACCAGTGGCGAGAAGGGCAGGCGTACGATGGCGGCAATGGCGATGCCGCTACCACTGTAGAGCAAGAGCTCCGCGGCAGCTGCAGGGGTCGCTGCTCCAGGGGCGGCTGCTGCAGTGGCGGCTGCTCCAGTGGGGGCTGCTGAAGTGGCGGCTGCTCCAGGGGCGGCTGCTGCAGTGGCGGCTGCTCCAGGGGCGGCTCTTCCAGTGGCGGCTGCTCCAGGGGCGGCTCCTGCAGTGGCGGCTGCTCTAGGGGCGGCTGCTGCAGTGGCGGCTGCTCCAGGGGCGGCTGCTGCAGTGGCGGCTGCTCCAGGGGCGGCTACTCCAGTGGCGGCTGCTGCAGGGGCGGCTGCTCCAGTGGCGGCTGCTCCAGGGGCGGCTGCTGCAGTTGCGGCTGCTCCGAAGGCGGCTGCTCCAGGGGCGGCTGATGCAGTGGCGGCTGCTGCTGGTGGGCGCCTCGGCGGCTCGGCTGCCCGCTAGGGGCGGCGACGGGGCCGGGTAGGGGCGGGGACGGGGCCGCTAGGGGCGGCGACGGGGCCGCGTAGGGAGGGGAGCGGCGACGGGGCCTCTAGGGGCGGCGACGTGGCCGTGTAGGGGCGGTTACGAGGTCGTGTAGGGGCGGCGACAGGGCCGCGTAGGGAGGGGAGCGGCGACGGGGCCGCGTAGGGGCGGCGACAGGGCTGCTAGGGGCGGCTACGGGGCAGTGTAGGGGCGGCAACGGGGCTGCGTAGGTAGGGAGGCGGCAACAGGGCCGCTAGGGGTGGCGACAGGGCCGCTAGGGGCAGCGACGGGGCCGCGTAGGGGCGGTGACTGGGCCGCTAGGGGCCTGGAAGGGCGGCTACGGGGCCGTCGGGGCGGCGCTGAGGGTGGCGCGAGGGGCCGTGAGAGGGGCCTCTAAGAGAGGTCGACAGAAGGGCAGCCCACAAGGCGCGCCTCGAGCAGGAGCAACTGTCGCTCCAGTCAGAAAAATAGTTTTCAGTGGTGGGCCCAAGGAAGCGTTCCCACTAGGGAACATGCTCTATACCATGTGAATGAACTAGCAAGCAGGTGGGTACAAGTAGGAAAACCTAGAAGTGTTGTACCCCATATTCATTCCAATGAGGAATGAATGAACTAGCAAGCAGGTGGGTACAAGTAGGAAAACCTAGAAGTGTTGTACCCCATATTGTCTACCCCACTACAGCCTACACAGACTATAGCATATGAGTTTGACATCGACACCACCGTCGAACTTGATCACCCCTCTCTGGCTCGTGCCTTCGCTACCGCTGACTCGTGCACCACCGTCGACCTCTTCGTCGACGCCACCTTCGTTGCGCACCGGTCGAGGAGAAGCAGGACCGGATGGGTGTTCCATCGCCCACTGCGACCGGATGCCCAACTTGGCGATCACCAAGGGGATCGTCCCGTACTCGCCATCCACGTGGCATCTCCTTGCATCAGCCAAACGTGCCTCCAAGGTGTCCGCTACGCCCGCATCAACTACGGGGTCGACCATGGCGACTATCGCTGCTGCCGGCCTACGAACGACTTAGTAGGTGCAAAATTCGGCTCCTATCTGAAGGTATTTGCGGGGCCGTCCACGCTCACCGCACCATGCGAAGAGTCACTCTACTGTCAGAACATTATAGCTTATGCTGTTGTGTAGGCTATAGTGGGGTATCCCATAGGGGGTACAACCCAATTAGGGTTTCCTATATGTACTCACATCATTCATAGTTCATCCATTCACGTTCTCATTTTCACATGGAATCAGAGCAGGTCCCCTCCTAGGGACTGTTTCTAGGGCCCACCGAAGCGCGCCCCGAGGCGCGCTTTCGTTTTTTTTTTAGCGACCCTTCGTGTCGCCCTTCCCCTCGCGGCCCCGCCGCCCCTCTCTCGCGGCCCCGCCGCCCTTACGACGCGGCCCCGCCGCCCTTCAGTCGCGGCCCCGCCGCCCTCTCGACGCGGCCCCGCCGCCCTCTTGACGCGGCCCCGCCGCCCTTCAGTCGCGGCCCTGCCGCCCTCTTGTCGCGGCCCCGCCGCCCTCTCGACGCGGCCCCGCCGCCTTCTCGACGCGGCCCCGCCGCCCTCTCGACGCGGCCCCGCCGCCCTCTCGACGCGGCCCCGCCGCCCTCTCGACGCGGCCCCGCCGCCCTTCTGTCGCGGCCCCGCCGCCCTTCAGTCGCGGCCCCGCCGCCCTCTCGACGCGGCCCCGCCGCCCTTTCGACGCGGCCCCCACGCCCTCTTGACGCGGCCCCGCCGCCCTTCAGTCGCGGCCCCGCCGCCCTCTTGTCGCGGCCCCGCCACCCTCTCGACGTGGCCCCGCCGCCTTCTCGACGCGGCCCCGCCGCCCTCTCGACGCGGCCCCGCCGCCCTCTCGACGCGGCCCCGCCGCCCTCTCGACGCGGCCCCGCCGCCCTTCTGTCGCGGCCCCGCCGCCCTTCAGTCGCGGCCCCGCCGCCCTCTCGACGCGGCCCCGCCGCCCTTTCGACGCGGCCACGCCGCCCTCTTGACGCGGCCCCGCCGCCCTTCAGTCACGGCCCCGCCGCCCTCTAGACGCGGCCCCGGCCGCCCTCTTGACGCGGCCCCGCCGCCCTTCAGTTGCGGCCCCGCCGCACCCACGTAGCGGCCCCGCCGCCCTCTCGACGCGGCCCCGCCGCCCTCTCGACGCGGCCCCGCCGCCCTCTCGACGCGGCCCTGCCGCCCTCTCGACGCGGCCCCGCCGCCCTCTCGACGCGGCCCCGCCGCCCTCTCTACGCGGCCTCGCCGCCCTACCTACGCGGCTCCGCCGCCCTTGAGTTGCCGCCCAGCACCGGCCGAGCCGCCCAGCAGCAGCCAAGCCGTCCGGCATCAGCCGAGCCGCCCAGCAGCAGCCGTTCCGCCCAGCAGCAGCCGAGCCGCCCAGCATCAGCTGAGCCGCCCAGCAGCACCTGAGCCGCCCAGCAGCAGCCGGGCCGCCCAGCATCAGCCGAGCCGCCCAGCAGCAGCCGAGCCGCCCAGGAGCAGCCGAGCCGCCCAGGCGCCGCCGAGCCGCCCAGCAGCAGCCGAGCCGCCCAGCAGCAGCCGAGCTGCCCAGGAGCCGCCGAGCCGCCCTGCCACTGGGCCGCCCGACCTGCCCTGTCTGGTGAGCACGGCACCGTTCCCCCTGCTACTGCGTGCCCTTCCCCACAGCTTGCACTGCTAGTCTATCGTCATGGCTACCCCCAGTGTCCTCGCTTTTGACGCTGAGGGTCGAGCCATTGACTTTGAGGTCTGGGTCGACGACCTGCAGTTGTTTCTACAGTGCGATAGGGCGGACGGTCTTTCTCTCTTTGACCTCACCTCTGGCGCCTCTCTTGCTCCTGCTGCTGATGCTGACCCCACTGTTCGCTCTCAGTGGGCCACCCGCGATGCTGCTGCACGTCTTGCTGTGGGTCGCCACTTGCCCACCACTGAGCGCGCGCACTTTAGTCAGTACAAGAGTGCTCAGACCTTGTACGACGCTGTAGTTGCGCGCTACTCTTCCCCTGCCACTGCTGCACTGAGCCGTCTCATGCTACCGTACCTCTTTCCTGATCTCACTGCCTTTCCCACTGTCGCTGACCTCATTACGCACCTCCGCACTAGTGACACTCGCTACCGCGCCGCCCTTCCTGCTGAGTTTTGCGCCAAGAACCCCCCCCCCCATGTACATCGCTCTCTATTACATAGTCACTCGCCTCCCTGACTCCCTTCGCGTAGTCAGGGACCACTTCCTCTCAGTCTGTCCCACCACTCTCACTGTTGATCTCCTCGAGAAGGCCCTCCTAGCGGCAGAGAAGAGCATAGTCGCTGTAGGAGCCTCCCGTGGAGACCCGCGCACCCCCATCTTTGAGGGGTGTTCTCCTTCCCCCCTGCTGCCCTCTGTTGCCTCTGCTGCTGCTGCCGACCTGCTTGGTCTTGAGTCGGTCGGCGCGGCGTCTGCCCCTAGCGGGAGACGCCGCCCTGGCAAGGGCAAGGGGGGCAAGGGCGCGGGTGGAGCTGGCGGGGGCGGTGGAGGTGGAGGTGGAGGCGGCGGAGGGAGTGGGGGTGGCGGTGGGAGTGGTGGCGGGAGTGGTGGCGGTGGCGGCGGCAGCGGCAGCGGAGGTGGTGGCGGCGGAGGCGGTGGGAGCGGAGGCGGTGGTGGTGGCGGAGGTGGAGGCGGTGGTGGCGGAGGAGGTGGAGCTGGTCGGGGTAGTGCCCCGCAGCGGAGCAGCTCTGCTGGTGGTCCGCGGCAGCAGCAGCAGCAGCAGCAGCGTTCTCGGGACGTCCCCACGCCTCAGCAGCTCCGTGAGTGGTACACGCAGAGTCAGCGTGGTGGAGGCTTTAGCCCGTGCACCTACGTTCTTCGCAGCGGCGACCGCGCGGGTGAGCTGTGTGGGGGTGCCCACTCCACCCGGCGCTGCTTTGGCCGCGTGACGGACGCGTGGCGTCAGCAGTTCCCTGACGCTTCTGAGATCCCCCGCTGGGGAGAGCTGTCTAGAGCTGGTGTAGCGATCTTTGAGCTAGACTTTGATGCTATCCTTGCTGCCATGTATGCTGTGTCTATTAGTGATGAGGGTGACTGTTACCGGTGTTTCCCGCCCGACCCGGGCATTGGTACGGCTGCGCTAGGTGCCTGTGACACTGCTGCGCTCTCAGGTGCTGGTGAGGCTGCGCTCTCAGGTACTGGTGAGGCTGCGCTCTCAGGTACTGGTGAGGCTGCGCTCTCAGGTACTGCGTCGGCTTCGGCCTCCCTCACCTTTACACTTGACTCTGGGGCTTCTCGCTCCTTCTTTCGGGACCGCACCACACTCACGCCGCTTGGCCGGCCGGTTGCGGTCTCCCTGGCTGACCCCTCTGGGGGTCCTATCCTCTCTCACTTCTCCACTGTCCTACCGTGTCCAGCTGCCCCCTCGGGCGCCCTGTCTGGTCTGTACCTCCCCTCGTTCTCGACGAACTTGGTGAGTGGTGCTGCCCTACAGGATGCGGGGGTTCACCAGTTTACTCCTGCGAGTCAGTGGGTGACCCACTGCACGGACGCGCGCACAGGTCGGCACCTGGCCACGTTCTCCCGTCGGCCGGGGTCGAGCCTCTACACCCTGACCACTGAGTCTCCTCCTGTCCCTGTGTCTGGCCAGGTAGCTGCGTCGGGTCAGGTGTTTGCTGCTGCGTCCAGGTCTGGTCCTGAGTCTGCCCCCTGCTCGTGTCGCCTCCTGTCTCACGAGACTCTCCTGTGGCACCACCGTCTTGGCCACCCCTCCTTGCCCCGTCTCAGGGACATGGCTTCCCGTGTTCTTCTCTCTGGTCTTCCCCGGTCTCTCCCTCCCCTTCCTTCGGGGCCAGGACCTTCCTGTGTCCCTTGTGTCAAGAGGTGCCTCCGGGCTGCACCCCACTCCTCAAAGTTTCCTTCGACAGAGGCTCCTCTGCAGACGCTTCACATGGACGTGTGGGGCCCGGCCCGCGTCCGTGGACAGGGTCACGAGCGCTACTTTATGCTGGTGGTTGACGACTACTCGCGT